TCTCCTACTTTAAAAAGCTCCACTAAAGGCTCGTCCTCATCCTTGAAAACCGGCAACGACTTGTCCTCGAACTCCTGAAATACCATCTCATCAACAAAGGGATCAGCAAGATCAATAAAAGCACATTCTTCTATGAAGTTGACAGAAGATGAAGACATGGCTTCTCGGACAGAAATAGACACTGATTCCCCTAAAACCGTCATGTTCAGGGTCCCGTTCTTCACATCAATCAGAGTATTGGTCGTCGCCATGAAAGGTCTCCCGAGAAGGATGGTGTGATCCTTCCCATTCTCGTGCACATCCCCAACGTCTAGAACGACAAAATCCACTGGAATGATAAGCTTACCAACCTTCACGACAACATCCTCGACTATCCCCTTCGGGTACCTGATGGAACGGTCTGCTAACTGGAGGCACATGCGAGTCGGCCTCAAATCCCCAAGGCCAAGCCTCTGAAAAATCGAGAAGGGCATGAGATTAATTCCGGCTCCGAGGTCGAGCATCCCCGAAGCTACCTTCCCGTTCCCCAGAGCTATCTGAATGATGAAACCACCGGGATCCCGCTCTTTCTTGGGCAAGTCGTGCTGCATAGCACTTGCCGCCTCATACACGACCACCTTCTCTCCATCTTCGAACTTCCTCTTTTTGGTCACCAAGTCCTTAAAGAACTTACCATATGATGGCATGTTCTTAATCACATCGAGCAGAGGTAAGTTAACGTTCACCTTGGAGAGCATGTTGAAAAGATCTCGGAACTGCTTCTCTTGCTTCTCGTTCCTAAGTCGGTCCGGAAAGGGAATGCGCGACTTGTACGGATTCGGCGATTTATGTAACATCGGCTCGTCGATCACCTTCCCGGACTCTGCTTCTTCGATCTTTTCAGAATGAGTCTCCTTATCCTCAGGCTCGGGCATCTGAACCTTGTTGTCCACCTCCTTCCCGCTTCTGAGAACTGTTATGGCTTTTGCTTGCTCAGGCTGACTAGGTAGCTTGTCCTTGCTCATCTCAGTCTCAATTGTACCCACCCGAGCGGCCAGTTGGCCCAACTGAGTCTCAATGCGCTTAATGGAGGCATCCTGATTGACATCCCGCTGCTCTCTGTTCGCCATGAACTGTAGGATCTTGGCAACGTCCTCATGGAGGTTCGAGCTCGACCCCGCTTCTGGTCCCTCTGCTGTTGTTGTGGCTGCTGTGGCTGAAAGTTCGGCCGGGGCACAAAGCTGGGTCGAGGTTGTTGTTGTTGCATGAAGTTCGGACGGGGTGGCTGAAGGGTGTTGGAGTTGTTTGACCACGAGAAGTGCGGGTGGTTCCGCCATCCTGGGTTGTACGTGTTGGAATATGGGTCATTAGCTGGCCGATTCTGATATCCTTGTAAGGCACTGGCATCCGCATACTGCTCACTGGG